TTGGATAGCGTTGGATAGCGTTGGGGAAGGTTGAGGCTATCAAAAAATATGTTTTTTTTTTTAATGTTGTTTGTAGTGTTGGATAGCGTTGGATAGCGTTGGGGAAGGTTGAGGCTATCAAAAAAAGTTACTTTTTCTATGTTTTTTGTAGTGTTGGATAGCGTTGGATAGCGTTGGGAAAGGTTGAGGCTATCAAAAAAGTTGTTTTTTAATGTTTTTGTAGTGTTGGATAGCGTTGGATAGCGTTGGGGAAGGTTGAGGCTATCAAAAAAGTTATATTTTTATGCTTTCTGTAGTGTTGGATAGCGTTGGATAGCGTTGGGGAGGGTTGAGGCTATCAAAAAAAAGTATTTTTTTATGCTTTCTATAGTGTTGGATAGCGTTGGATAGCGTTGGGGAAGGTTGAGGCTATCAAAAAGTTGTATTTTTTTAAACTTTCTGTAGTGTTGGATAGCGTTGGATAGCGTTGGGAAAGGTTGAGGCTATCAGAAAAGTTGCTTTTTAATGTTTTTTTTATAGTGTTGGATAGCGTTGGATAGCGTTGGGAAAGGTTAAGGCTTTAAGAAAAATTGTTTTTGTTGTGCTTCCTGTAGTGTTGGATAGCGTTGGGAGGTGTTGAGATTCTTATAAAAACATAATTTTAAACAAACTTTGAAACACAAAGCTTTTTAGTTGATTAGTTACCAAAAGTTTTTATATATTATTACTATAAAACAATATTTAAAAACATATATATATACATTATTATGGTATTATTTACTATATTATGTGTTTCTTTTGAGAGATAATATTCTTTTAATATCCAACATAACTGCTGGGTGTGTGCCGTCTGCAATCAGGACCTTTACAATGGCAGAATTTGATGATCCCTTGGAGTCGTGTCTCGGGAGGGAGGGTGGACCAGAAGGACCAAAGCTTGGAATCTTCACCCTTACTCCAGCGGGCGCGCGGGCTTTGCTAGGCCGCAAGCGTGTTCGATCAAGACCCCTGCTCAAACTGACATGTTGTGGTTGCGGCCGTAGCTCTTGGGACAACTGTCGCTTCGTGCCCACCGATCTGATAGAGTGGGCCCCTCAGTGCATGACTACTTGCAAGCTGCTGCTGAGATTGAACGTAGTTTTTTTTGAGATTGCAACATTATTCATTATTGATTGTCGTCAGGTGGGCTTTGCCCTACTACCGCTTAACAAAACGGATGAAAGAAATGGGGCTGACAGAGGAACAACCATCAGGACCAATGCTTACTGCTTTACTGTCTGAGTCTGATTGGGTTATCAATTATATGATACTACGAGAATTGACCGTTTGCGTAGGCGACCTTTGCAATGATTGCCACAACTGTGCACGAAGAGCATTTCCAAATATGACGCGGGTTCAGGTGGTGGAGAGCTTATTTCTTGCGACGTACTGAATTGTTTTTGTTTTTTTTGCATAAGGATTTCACAATCAGACTAACTGTTCTCACGCTATGAACAAAAGCTCGAGGTGGCGGCCTTGAAGGACGATACCAAGACAGACTTTCAAGAGAATTGGACATCAAGCAACTCGCCACAAGACACTATGAAACAACAACTATTGTCAAGCTACTATTAGGCTGTTTGAATCTAAAGCAATCAACAAACAACATCATATCATATTGATCTTTGTGCCGCTGCAAACGAGGCTTGACAAACTACGTTCAAGAGATTGAAGATCGGATCAACACGGGGGCTACCAGGGTCAAGAAACGTACCAAGTCCGTGGACAAGACAACTGGTCAGAAATGCAACGTATCCATTCCAGGTGTCTTTGTGGACTTGAATGTGTACAAGCAAGACTTTGGAGATCCAGCTGAGAGGGAACATAAGGTTTGCGATATCATCGATCCGGAGACCGGGAAGATGAAGAAAGCAGCCTTCATTCCCAAGAGAAAGGCAGGGTACTTTGAGGGCGAATTGGCAACGACACAGAAGCTTCAGAAAAAGGAGGTTCTGGATTGTGATCTCAATGCTCTCCGCTCTGGCCAAGTAGACGAATCTTTTGACCAACACATGGAGAGCTTTGCAAAGTCAGCGCCCAAAGTGTTGCCGGATGCAGAAACCTTTGAACAATGCACACAGCCTCGCATTGAAGTGAATGATCATGAAGAGGACTGATTATCCAAGCTGATGTTTGTGAGTATCATGTTCTAAGCTTCTATGAGTTCTATTCTTTGCATGTGTTTCTAATTTTTTCATTATAACTAGTACTTTTGTCATATGTGTACGACTTGGTTTGTCATTGCCAACTATCAATCAGTTGTTGTCAGGAAGCTATCAATTCACTTCGCCCAAGCTCCAAGAAAGAAGACAACGATGATGAGGCCAAGGGCGAAGAGATTGATGAGTCTGAGTGCATCGAGTTGATGGTGGCCATGCAGCAACGCGAAGACAGTCAACCCAATTCAAGTGATAGTTTGACTCACGATGCTTTGCGCGCCCACGATGCCGTTCACAGTGCGAAGCGTGTTGCAGGCAAACGCAATGATTTTCCATCATCAACAAAGAGGCGGATTGCGCAACCAAACCAGGCTGATGAAGCAGTGGCTGCTGGTCATGGAGTTTCATCCTCTGCATCCCAATCAGGCAGGGGAGTGTTGTTTTATCCACTGCGGCCAAACCTGCGCCTACGGCTCCAACTGAGAAACCATCTGAGTCTGACTGGCTGATCTTCTTGAAATCTGGTTGGGACTCATGCACTTCTGTGGCTGCCTTGGACCTTACTACAGAAAGTGGTGGCTACATTTGCAACATGCCTTCCACTGCAGACAAGGCCAAGTGGTCAGCAGCAGTCAAAGCTGTGTCTGCGCAGCTAGTGTTGATCAAAGACTTGCTTGAATCTGGCAAAATCAAAGACCAAGAGATCAAGAGTGCTGCCACACAGCTCAAGAAGATTGCCAATGGCAAATGCAAGAAGGCTGGTACCAAGAGCAAACCTGAGTTGCTCTCAGACAGATTCAAGGCATTGAGTGAGTTTCTACTAGAAGTCCAGAAGTTCCGGAGTGGGATCGTCAGCTCACGGATGGGCTCTATTTCGTCTGAGGACATCTCCAAAGGCATGGATAGCCTTACAACGTCATGGCAGAAGTTGGATTCATTGACTTCCAGTGGCCGTTCCGGCACTTGTCTGGGCTCTACTGTGGCGTTGCCAGAGGTGTGGGTGACATCATGGGTGAGTTGCGTGCATGGCCAAGTGTAGTTTTTTTGTTTTTGTTTTTTGTCATAGTTATAAGGTGGTGTTATGTTGATATTGATATAGTGATTATATAATATGTTTATGATATAGTAATGATATTGCAGCTGTTGTTTTGTTGTCACCTTGCTTAGGTTCATCGGTGACATCGGTTCTCAACAAGATGAAAACTGATTTGACTATGGGCTTGGAGGATGCGGATAAAGCTGCAGCAGCAGAGTTGGTTAAACAAGCAGCACAGGCTATCTTTCTCTTCCCAGATAATCTGGAATCTGGCTCGCCAGAGGAGAACAATGCTTATGGCAAGCTCAGTGATTTCTTCTGGTTCACAAAGTCAGAATTTTCCGAGAATGTGCAGCAGCTGCAACAAAAGTTTCTGGCATCCGCACTCTCACACATCTTCACCACTAGCCCAAAGGATGACTATCAATGTGAAGCTCATGACTACGCTGCCCTTTTGCTATGCTTTCTTCCCCAGCAAGATGTCATGGCCAAGGCAGTGCTTGATGAACATGTTGGAAAATATCTCGTGATCTTGGGAAATCTCGCAGGCAAGGTGAAGTCAATCACCGGTGGTATGAGTCCAGAAGATGCAGCAACGCTTTCAGATCAGCTGCATCAACTCAAGATTTCAAATGTGGCAAAGGACGCAAAGTTACTCTCTCGATTTCTCATGACACCAGGCTACAAGAAGTTTGCTTTGTTTCTTCAGGCTGAACTGAGCCGATCTCAGCAAGATCAGGCTGCAACACAGCGTGCCAAGACTTTGCAGACTGATGTGTCTGAAGTCAATGCAATCCTGACAGGCCGAACACAGGTGGGGCCGTTCACCTTGATGCGCTTGGTTGATATGGTCAAAACTCTCCAGAAGCTTGTTGAGGGCATCGCTGCTCTTCCTATGGGTGAGAGCTCCCAGCGCAAGGAGATCCGCGTAACTGGTCTATCTGTTCGCGATGATTTCGAGGACTGTGACTGTGTGATTGACTGATTGTTATTTTATTTGTTTGGTTATTTGGTGACTGATGATTGTTGTTGGTGATTGTATTACAAAAATAAATAGATGATTGCCTTGAGTCAGGAGTTCATCGTGGACCGCTTCACACAGACAGTGGGCAGTTTCCTGCGCACATGGGATGTGATTGGGGCTGAGCTTGTGGATGATGTGATGGCCTTTGCTGATGCTTTTGGCAAGACGGAGAAGATGTTAGAGCTGTGTGCTCCGCTGAAACTGACCACCAAGGACGTGCTCAAGAATGTGGGCTACCTTTGTGAGGCTTTCGCTTTCCAACATCATTCAGAACAGTTCACGCAGGCTCTATCAACACAAGATGTGAGCATATGGACTGACAATGGCCAGCCAGATACACCTCAAGCTGAGCGAGCGCTGCGATTCCAACACTTGTGTTGTGATTATCTGCCAAACTTCAAGCTTTGCGCAGCATGGTCAGCATTCACCAAAGAAGCACAGGACGGCTTCGACAATCTGTTTGGACAATTGCGGAAGCTATCGAAGGATGTGATGTGGAAGCTGCACAACATGGTCGTTGATTTCTATGGCACCTCCAATGACAAACCAAAGGACGGGTGGATGGCATCAGACCCAGGCCTGGAGAAAGCGCATGCCGACATGAAGAGTGCACTCATGAAACTCCAGGCACTTTGTCCGGCTGGAGAAGCTCCGTCTTCTGTGATGAAGGTGCTTGAGACATCCATCAAAGAGATTGACAGCATCTTAGACGTGCAGCTCACAGCCGAGGAAAAGAATATGAAGGCAGAGATCTGTGCAGAGATCAAATCTATGCGGTCGCTATTGCCAGCGTTGACCTTGGAGGAGTTGATGAATGATCAGTCAGTGGAGTTTTTTCAGAGCCAAATGGCTAACGCATCTTCAGTGAGCGGTCGTGCTGGACCATTTTTCGAGAGAATTGATGCGTCCAAACCACTTGATCGCTTTGGACAAGAGCTCTGTGGTGAGGTCAACCAGTTGTCATCTTTCTTGAAGGTGTTCTTGGCATCGCTGTCTGCTTGTGGCATTCTCAAACAGGCAGATCCTGCCAAAGCTGCATCGTTCGAGGAGACGCGGCTGAAACCCAGAGATTTGTCAATGGACCAGATTCCTAAATGTATCAGGTCCAAGATCGAAGCTCTTGCAAAGAAATAGCGGCGCGTGACACAAGGGTTTGGCTTGTCATGAGGTTGAGGGCCACATGGACATTTTCAGTCTCAAAGTGTTTGTGATGATCAATTTGTGTTTAGATGTTTTTTCGTAGTTTAGGTGTCGCAGAATGCGAGTGTCGGATGACTTCTTCACCTTCATTCTTCTTATGACAGTTTCGTTCCGTTTTGTTCTGAAACCAGAACTTGTACAGAAATCAGAAATCTGTGATTTCCACAGACTGGTGACCACGGCCGACAGCTGCCTTGCGGGAGGGCGGCAACAGGCACCGGTCATCAGGGTGGAGAGACCACTTTACTCGGGGCCAAAGGCTACGCACTAGCTTACCATCCTTAACGACTTAGCTTGGAGTGAAACTGCTGAGCCTTGCTGGGCTAACTGACTAAGGGCGGTCGAATGAATTTGAACTTTTGTTGCACTGCATTGTTGCACTTCAACTGTGACCAACAAGACCTGCTGGCAGATAACATTGGGTTTGGGCAGGGCCAAGAAGACGGGACGCAATATGAAACAACAAGACAAAACAAAACATTCAAGCACTACACAAACAAGAAGCTAAGTGAACCATAATGACAATAGAAGAATGTTATTTTTGAGCCTTTCTACGTGATTCATGAACAACATGGAAGAAGATTGGGACCCACTTGATGCCGGAGACTTGGAGACTAGATTCAATTTTCAAAAATCCTTTTGATCGAGCTTAACGTTGCTGAGGCTGTTCCAAGTGATCCTTTGGATGTGTGGCTCTTAAACAGAGCTGCGTCACAGTGCATAACAAATCTTGACAATGGCTGATGTTCTCAGGTGTTGCCACTATTTCCATTGGACGCAAGCCGCCCACGAATTGCTCCAGAGCCCGATGTCGGAGTGGCTAGCACTGACTTGGCTGGCACCAACACCGACAGTCACCGTGAGATTTGCCAAAATGCTTGTGATGACGTTGATTTCCTTTCGCAGCTAGACAGAAAGCACTGTGAGCCCTGCGAGCTGTCAAACGCTTTGCAGGCTTCTGAACAGCAGGTGCACTTTGATGTCTTGTGGGCTAGAGTGTTGCGGACAGGTCATTTGTCTGACATCGCACTCTCTGCTTCAATTCAAACCTATGCGGGTGTGCAGGTTGACTTGGACCAAGACTTGAAGACATGGGGTTGGGATGAGTCGTCAGCATCAGAGTTCGGGCGTGAGCCTTTACACGAGATAGGTCTGCTTGCACCTGCAGATGTTGTGACTGGTCGATCATCAGAAGAAACCCATGAAACATGCCTGGGACCGTGCTCAGGGCAGGAACCATGGCTGGAATCAGTTGTAAACATACTGGGGGAAGGCGCGCTCTGCCAAAGGCTTCACGAAGTTAAGGAAGCTCACAGGAGCTCAGGCAGTGACGCGGGCTTGACCTATGGAAGCGATTGCTCAGGGGTTGACGCTCCTGCTGTTGCCCTCAAGAGCTTGATCAAGAGGCTGCAACCTCAGATGGAGGACTTGTTGTTGTTGTTGTTGTTGTTGTTGTTGACAGTTAACGCAATGCTGAAATGAGAAATGAAGGAGATAATAGCAAATGAGCAACGCGCCACTTGCCACTAACTAATTTACTACATCTGCTGTGCCATTCACTTGAGCTTCGCAGGAAAGACATGGTGGCGGACTAGCAGTTGATCACAGGTTCTGCAGCGAAGCTCCTGGAAGAGATGGATATTGGCAGAAGTGCATGCTGCTTTGGAATCACAAACCTTCTGTAGTGTATGCGCCCAGACTTAACTTAACATTAGTTGCAGTTTGCCAAAGCTGTGCACGGGCCCGATCGTCCACATAGTTCATGTCACGCTTGTTCATCCTTCTGTCTGTCAGGCCGTTTATGTTCTTGTGGTCGACCCCGTCGACGCGACTGTTGCTAAGGACGATATGCTTCTAAGGGTCACTGCCTCTGTGGTTGGGGGTGTTTGCAAACACTCTGAATGAAAGTTGAATCAGTTGTATTTATTTTCATGAAATTTGTTTTAATGTTGTTTCCGCTGCCTATCCGCAGGCAAAACACAATGGATGTGGACTAGATTGGTGCACGGGACAGTGGACCAAAGATGCAGTGCAATCGGTTGATATATACACAGGAGGATTTGAATGTCAGGAGCGGTGTGTGTTGTATTTTTTTATATGTGCTAGAAGATCAACAGGATTGTTTGTCAGCGCAATTCTATCTGACTGAACTGACTGCGAGGTGTGTGTGTATATGACTGTGCCAAATGTGATGTGCTTATTTTGAACTGTTGTCGTCGGAGGACTTGTCCAATATGAATCGATATCGCAAGCCATTGGTTGTCGGGAATCCAATGTGTCCAAAAAAGACACATGCCTTGCATGTTTTTTTTGTGTGACAGGGTTGAGGTGAAAGCAAAGGGAACAAAACAACAACAGCAATGACTTGACAATCATTCAGATGGAGGAAGAAACAAAATCATAATTAGCTAAGGCAGCGAGCAGCTAGTCCTAGCTCTGTGGCTCAGTCGGAAGATTGCGGCAAGAGCTGTTAAGTGTACTTGTTCACTAATGTTCTATGGGGGTACTTCATTCCACGCGTTATTTTGGCTCAAGATTGGACTTTCATTATAATGGTAGATTTTTGAGAGGTGCCCCCCTGCGAACGGGGAAGCCTCTTGCCATGTCATGCGTTTCACGTTTACAGATGTTCTACATGTTCTTTAGCGGTACCCTCCTGCGAACGGAGAAAGCCGCGATATTGCACTTCAGGTGGTGACATTTTCAGGCGTCAACTTCATGCCAAATTGTTCAGATTGTGCATATGCATTTTCACTTGTTAACATCCCGGCCGATGTCAAGCCATGGATTCAGATCTCACGCAGTGGAGCCTTGTTGCTTTGATTCGTTTTTTTTTGCTTGATCGTTTTTGAACTCGCTCGTAGATTCCAGATTTCCTTACCGAACAGATCCGAGATTCAAGAGCCGGCCGACCGCCCAGCATCCTCACACACAGAGATCCCGTACTGCACTCGGGCATGTGTTTTTTGCAGGGCGCCTTGCGTTCGTCGTGAGCCGGGTCACAAGCATCATAAGTGCCTAGATCATTTGCATAGTCGTTGAATCAATTGAACCAGTGAGCATGTCCGATAGCGAATCTTGGATCTTTGTTGAGCCACACCCCAAATCCAAAGTCTTGACAGCACCGATTCGCAACGTCGAACCGCGGATTCGATCCCTGTTTCAGGTATCCGATTCATTGCCATCAGCCTCTTCTAAGAGCCCTCCTCAGCAGGCCTTCCAGTCAGTTTCGGACTTAGAGTGTTCGACCGCTGCACCGACGTTCCATCACCCGGAACCTCGACCTGCTCCAGTGTCATTGCATGACTTGGGATGCCTACCAATGTGGCATGATCCCACTCCTGATTCGGCAGGATCTTGGTCTCGACCACGGAGTCTTTGTAGTCCGCCCCAGGATTTAGCCCTCTCACCGTTAACCACGGCCCCAGAGGTTCCTCCGCGTGATTGCGAGGTCTTTGAAAAATCTCTGCACATGACCCATCCACGATCGAGTCATGCCATTGCAGCCCCTTCCAAGTTTGCAAAGGTCTCAAGCTCAGCACACAAACGTGTTCGCCAGCCATCTTCAAATCCATATTTGGCAAAAAAGTGGCACTTTGTGTTGGAACAGTTGGGTAATGCATCTCAACTCTTTGAAGCTTGCTCCAACTCCAAATTCGGTTACCAACATGCCGACCGAGTATTGGATAACATAGCTCCGAGTACCGCCCTTCAGTACTTGACCGCCATTTGCAACTTTTTAGAGGATTTGCCAGGACATGCGTTGCAGTATCGTTGGATTGACCGATGGAGGAATGGCGGATTTGCTTTTAGTGATTTCACTATCTCGCAGTTCGGACTCATCAGGAATCAGCCGTGCATCGTCCATCAAAGCATTGCGGTGGCTTCGCCGGTCAGCGATAGTGGACAGTCTTCAATGTGTGTATTCCCCCATAGTTGACTCCTTCCTAAAGATTAAGCATCCCAAAGATAAGCGAGAGCCCCTTTCCCCCGTTGGGCCCTGATCCAATGGGAACGCCGACTGCTGCAATCGTCGTGCACAGATGTTGAAGTCCTGATTCTCGGCACTTTTCTCTTTATGGCATTCTCAGGTCTCAGGTTTGCAGACCTCCAGAGAATCAACTTGCGGAGCTTGGTGCTGTCCCCCACTGATGTCAGGGGTTTGTGTTGGCGTTCAAAAACACAAACGCACGGCCATCCGTTCGGCTTGATCACGAGTGGTTTTCTTTCTAAAGGTCCCCATAATTGGTTGTGGCGGTTCTTGATGGTATTGGATATCACTTTAACCAAACATCAGCCTTCGGACCCTGATTTCCTTTTGCCAGACTGCTCCGACACCGCAGTAAACCCAGCCTACATCCCCATGTCGTATGCCAAAGCCTTGAATTTTCTTCGCGCGTGGATTCACGCCCCATGGCGGAGTGGCCTGAGTCCACTTCATGATTTAGAACTCAACTATACCATCCATGGCCTAAAAGCCACATTTCTCTCCTGGGGGCCACAGCTCCACGGCAAGGTATCAGACGATCAACGGCTTCAGCAAGGACATCATCAGGATCCTCGACAATCTCTCCGTTTGTACGGACGTGACTCGGTTTGGGGGGCCCTGGCATTTCAGAAACAGGTGGTGTTTGAGGTGCAGCAAGGATTCCGCCCTCAGATTGCTCAGCATCGAGGAGGTCAGGCACCCCTCAAGGAACCCCAAGTCTCTCTCGAGTACTTTAAAAAAGATCTTCCGCTGTTCAAGTTCGATTGGTTCCATTTTGACTCTCCGACCTCGTCCGCACCGCCGCCGCCGGTCGACGCGGTCTTGAGCTCATCTGAGAATTCCTCGGACTCAGACTCATCGGATTCTTCGGACAGTCCTCGTGCCACGGCCCCCAAGAAGGCCAAAGTGCAATCGCAGATTTCATCTGTCCCAGACGAATGCGTAA